GAAATACAAAAAAGAAAAACATTCTCATAAAAACCACTTATTTCATATCTATTTCCTCCCCTTAACCAGCTTCCACCCTCCCCCCCCAAACCCTTTTCAATGGACCCTGACATCTATCTAAACAACTTTTATCTCAAATCCTCTGGATACAAAGATTTAAAAGAAAGAAGATAAATTACATTTTCTCTTTTTTTTTTTTGTATTTAATTACAAATTTACAAATTTACTTATTTCCTCTTTGTTTTAAACTCCTCCCATTTCTCCCATTTCATATAATATGCCTCTATCCTATCTTCCTGTATGTAGTATAGTTTCTCCAATCTAACAATCTGATCCACTCTATTCCTCCAATCCTCTTCCTCCGGCGCCTCAACTTTACGCCAAAACTTAGGTATCAAACCTTTTGCTGTGTTTAAATAGCACAATATACCCAGTTCTTTATATTTATTCACTGATATTTTTGTATTATGAAAAAGACACGTTTCAGGGTCCAATCCAATCTCAGTTCCAGTAATAATCCTAATTTGATTTATAACTTTTCTCCAAAATACTTGTATTTTTGAACATTCCCACGATATGTGAAACATCGTGCCCAACCCTCCACACCCTTGCCAACACCAAGGTTGTTTCTCCCCACTCATCTAGTGCTCTACCGTCGGTGTAACATACCACCTTATCAAACATTTGTAGTTCAATTCCACATCACGCATACTGACATTCTCATGTACCAGTCTGTATATTTTTCTTTGTGTGTGCTCCTCCCACTCCACCCCTAAATCCCTTTCCCATTTTTCTATATATCTTAATTTTAACTTATAAGCTAAATCAGTGAGGATTTTATATACTTTAGCAGTGCCGTGCTTCCCATCACCTCGAACTTCCAAATACTTCTCAAATAAATTCCAATCTTCTCTAGTTCTAAGAGGCTTTGTCAATTTCCCCACAAATTGTTTCAATTGGTTATACCTCCATATATCTATCTTAGTGAAAATCCCTCTCTCTTCCCTTTTCAAATCCTCCAGTGTCCTTAAGTTTACCCCCTCCATTACATCTCTCAACTGAGCATCTTCCTTCTTAATCCATTTTCCTGTAATTTCCTCTTTACCTGGGGGAAAAAACTCTGAATTTCTTAATGACATTAGCAGTGAATTAAAGTCCCAATTCCTCTGTTTGTGCATTCTATCCCACTCCCTTAATACAACAGAAGTATATGGACTCGTGCTCTCAGTTAATTCTCTAAGCTGTGTTGACACCCGAACAATCCTACTAAAATCCTTTCCACTAAGTGTATTTTCTATTGTGACCCAATTTTTACCCTTTGAATTGTGCATCCAGTCAAAGATTCTTGCTAGGATAACTGCCCTGTAATATCTTCTGAGATCCGGTACTCCCACTCCACCTTTTTCTTTGTTTCTACTTAGCACTTCGAATGGTACTCTAGGTTTTTTATTTTTCCATATATATCTTGTTATCATTCTCTTAATTGTCCTAAAATACAGCTCTGGGAGTTTAATGGGAATCATCTGAAATTTATACAGGATCTTGGGGACAATTACCATTTTTATCAAATTAATACGACCTAACCAGGAAGGGTTTCCTTCACCTATTTTCTTCAATTCCTCCCTAATTTCGTTTAACAATGGGATATAATTTGCTTCATAAAGATTTTTCTGTGAAGGGGTAAGTTTCACTCCCAGGTAATTTATTTCTCTATCTTTCCATATAAAGGGAAATTCTCTCTGTAGCTTTACTCTTTCGCTTCTTGGAAGATTTATATTTAATATCTGTGTTTTAAACGGGTTAATTTTTAAGTTTGACAATTCCCCATATTCCTTCAGTGCTTTCATTAGGTTAGGGATTGTTATCCTAGGGTTTCCAATATAGAACAATAAATCGTCCGCAAATGCGGCTACTTTATGTTCTATCTTTTCTACGCTTATTCCCCTTATATCTATATTTTTCCTAATTGTTGATAACAGGGATTCCAAAGATAAAACAAACAACAATGGGGACAGTGGGCAACCCTGTCTAGTTCCATTTGACATTGCAAAAGTCTCTGATCTCTCCCCATTTACCATAACCATCGCAGAGGGCCCTTCATACAACCTTCCAATCCACTTCCTCATCCTACTACCTAGTCCCAAAACCTCTAATGTATCCATCATAAAGCTCCAGTTAACCCTGTCAAACGCCTTCTCCGCATCTATCGAGAGTTACACTACTGGATTTCTTCCCTTTCTACTTTTCTGAATGAGCATCAGGGATCTCAACCCATTATCTCGACCCTCTCTTCCTCTAACAAAGCCCACCTGATCCCCATGTATCCACTCTGGCATCAGATCTTTTAACCTATTCGCCAAGACCTTTGCATACAACTTCGTATCTGTGTTCAATAACGATATCGGTCTATAACTTGAGCACTGAGAGATATATTTACCTTCCTTATGTATTAGAACCACCTGGGCCAGTAGGGATTCCCTTCTTATCTCCATCTCTCTCCCCCCAGTGCATTCATATATGTTTTCAGCTTTGGTAGCAGTAAGTCACTATATTTTTCTATAATACCTCACAGTATATCCATCTGGACCAGGACTTTTTCCCGTCATAAAACTTTTTAATGCTCTTTTTAGTTCTTCCTGTGTAATTTCAGATTCTAAGGAGTTTAATAGTTCTTCACTTAGTTTTGGTAATCCTGCATTTCTTAAATACCTCCTTCTTTTTTCAATATTTACCATTTTGTCCTTATTTGTAGCATCATTGGGGGCGATGTTATATAATTTACTATAGTAATCCTTAAACACCTTTGCGATATCTTTAGTTGAGTGGACTAACTCTCCCTTGGAGTTTTTTATTTTGTCTATATAATTCCTAGTCTTTTTTTTCCTCAAAGCTCTCATCATATATTTTCCCGGTCTGTCTCCCCATTTATATCTTTCCCCCGTAATTTTATTAAAGATTCTCATTTTTTCTTCCTCCGTCACTTTCTCTAATTCTTCCCTCTTTTTTATCACCTTTTGCTCTATCTCTTTCGTTATATTACTTTTATGTAGAAGTTCCATCTCTGCTAGTTCCTTCAAAAGCTCACTAATCTTCTCTTGTCTTTCCCTTTTTTTCTTTGCCCCAATCGCTATGAGGATTCTCTCTTATATATACTTTATGCGCCTCCCACACTGTGGCCAATGATACATCTTCCGTTTCATTCTCCTCAAAAAATCTCCTCATCTCCTCCCTGATCTTCCGTTCAGTGTCTTGGTCCACGAGAAGTGTCTCATTCAACCTCCATAATAGGCCTCTTGACTTCCCTCCCCATCTCAATTTCATTACAACAGGAGCGTGATCTGAGAAAGTCATTTCTTCTATTTTTACCCTATCCAAATCCTCAATGAGTCGATTGTCTATCAATATATAGTCCAATCTAGAATATATCCCATGTACATTAGAGTAGAAAATATAATCTCTATCCCTCATATTCACAACTCTCCAACTATCCACTAGTTGACTCTCTATCATCACCTTCTTCAATAATCCCATCGACTTACTCCCCCCCTCTCTGCGCTAAAGAAGTTGTATCTATTTGTGGATCCATACATAGGTTAAAGTCTCCAGCCACTGTTAAATATCCTTTTCCAAAATCCATCAATCTCTTCAAAACCCCTTTCAGAAAAATCTCCGGCTTCCTATTTGGGCAATATATGTTAGCGAGTGTACACTCAATATCCTGCAGCTTACCCCTCAGGAACAAAAACCTCCCATCCGGATGAGTTTTCATATCCTCCAGTTCAAACCTAATATTTCTCGCAAATCCTATAGCTACACCCTTCACCGACCAGACCACGTTTGTTGGAAGGACGGATGTGATGTGCAGACTGAGGGAGCAATCCCCCAGTCTGTGCAACTGTTACTCAGTGCCAGAGGCCGAATGAAGAACTCCTCCTGCTCTGCTCTGACAGGTCCGTACTATATTTTCTGTGCGGTTAGGCAGCCTATAGAACATTTCCCCAGAACACGAAAGGTTTGTGTGCCCTCATAAAGCTAGTCCCCGCATTCTATGTAGTGATGGATCATGAAGATTTGATGGTCCACACGAAGGTAGCGATGGCAGGGAGAGTTTGCAGGAAGCTGTTCTCTGAGGGCGACCAGGCATGGGCTTGGTTCCCCCCATGGACAGGTTAAGGAATAGAACTAATGAAGCGCCTGAACAATTTTTCTGTCATCGTGGATAGTATGTTTAACGAGACTGTAGAGGCTGTCAGAGAAATTGCCCAAGAACAACGGCAGATGCAAATTTTAGTGCTTCAGGAGAAGATGGCCCTTGATTACCTTTTAGCCGCCAAAGGGGGGTTCTGTGAGTTCATCGGAGAGGATTGTTGTACCTGGATAGAAGACACCGATGACAAGGTCCAGGCCCATATGGACAAAGTTAGTGAACTACAGGGAAAAGCTATAGCTATAGCTAGTGAGGGTTGGAATCCGTTCAAGGGTTTGGGAGGATTGGGAGATTTCCTGTTCTCCATCGGATCTTGGTTGAAGGAAGTGGGAGTGTATGTCCTGATGCTTCTCTTTTTCCTTTGCCTCTTGTATGCCGCGGTGAGATATTCCTGTTGCCTCATCAACCGTGTAAGCCAAGCTCGGGCAGACAACCACATCTCCATGCCCGCTCCTGGGATCCCACTCCAACCACTGATCGGAGGAAGACCTCACCAACCAGCCACCTTCTCTGCAGGTTATGTCCTGGCTTCCCTCTAATTTATCTCCCTGAAGACCATGTTCTCCAAGACCTCCAAGCAAGCTTCAAGCCTCATCGTTGTTTGTGTATAAAGCTGCAAGATTTGTTTGTTCCACCTTTTGGAAAACCATCTGGGTCGAGACCAGCCTTGTGTGGCCCCGTTTGCAGGGGCATTTGAGAATCTTCTGCTGGATCTCCCCGGACCACCGTGGGATCACAAACCTTTGTTTATACCACAAGTCTGGTTCCATTTGCCAGAACAGTTTGAAAAAGTTCTGTTTGTGGTTTTTTTGCAAGAGCCTTCCTGTAATGAAGACTCCAACGCTCTTGAAGATCATTGCTTCAATCAAGCCTGTTTGCGTCGAATCTGCGTCAGATCTTGTTGTTTCAGGTACCCCGTGGAGCTTTATTCTCAGGGACAACTACAGGAACTCTGGTCTAAGACCAACTCTTTAAGGTTTTGAGAGTACACCCATCAAGCTGAAGAAGATCAAGAAGGGACACAAGGAGAATATGATAAAACAGGAGGGAATGTCATGGAAATTTTCTATTACAGGTTGTCCTTTAAATGTGTCATATATTAGTGTTATTCATATGGCTCTCGTGTGGCTTAATTAAAGCTCTGAAGGCTGCAATTAGGCCATGCGCATTTACAATGTATATATTACAGTACTCAGCTCGGTAATGGATGAGATGGCAGATCTGCGCTTATAGACCGGCGTGTATGCCACCACGGCATTCCATGCGAATGCCTCCAACGGTAGGCCGCGGGCCTGTATTCACATATCAGCAGCATAGTACCACATAGACTTCGTATACATATGGCCAGGTGCCAGGCAGTGCGAACTCCGCGTGTAGGCTCATGTATATCTCTACAAGCCGCTACCGACCTGAACTGTATCTGGATGGATGTGTTTTAATAAAGATCGTATCGGCCCATTCAGATACAGACTGGCACTGTTTAATCTAAGGGATGCTTGTACAGACAATGAACATACTGCTGGGAGCTGTTAGCATGTAAATAATGGGAAACTCGCTCTCCAAAGCGAGCTTACGGGGGAGGACAGAAAAACTGGTTTAACTGGTTAAGAGGGAACTTTGCACTCCGAGCAGGATGGACATTCTCGTGTATGGACACTCCCTATACATTGTTCTGTGGGAGGGGATTGACTTGGCCCCCGTGCGGGGGGGTGTTTTGTAAGATAATAAAAACAGAAGTCTGGTGTTAGACCCAGGCAGAGTGGATTCCAACTTCAACCTGGGAGTATTGTCTGATTTATTCCTGGATTACTGGAGCTCCGTTTCCCCACATCTCAATAGAGCTAAACATTTGCACACCCGGTTGGAGGCGCAGGAATCGTGGAGCTAAGCTGCAGTCGTGGAAAGTGAAGGGCGCAATACGGTTGCAGCGAAGTTCGCACAGCTTTATGGGGGATTTCTGCGCATCCAACTGCGGGCACTCACATTAAGGAAAATTAATTGAAAGCGAATTTCCAAGACACTCTCCAAAATCTTGACGTGAATTGGACTCCCCGGTCTAATACTATGTTTCTATGGACTCCATGGAGCCTTACCACTTCTTTGATGAAATTCTGGGTGGTCTCGGGAACAGAGGGTGTGTTCTTGAGCGGTAGAAAATGAGCCATCTTAGATAGGCGGTCAACCACGACGAATATGGCAGTGTGGTCTTGAGAAGGTGGCAGATCTACGATAAAATCCACCAACACCATACTCCAAGGTCTGTCGGGCACTGGTAAGGGTCGTAGTAGGCCCAAAGCTTTGCTCCGTGTTGGCTTACTCCTGTTGCATATGGCACAGGTTTTGACATATACTTCACAGTCCTTGGCCATACTTGGCCAACAAAACATGCGCTGGGTCAGCTCTAATGTCTTGCTTATCCCGAAGTGTCCTGCCAGCGGATGATCATGACAGTATACCAAGACCAGGGTTCGAGCCTCTTCAGGAACCACAATCTGTTCCACCTTCCACAGCAACCCTTCCTTGTTCTGGACCGAGACCTCAGGTGGGTCAGGGGCCCTCATGGATGCGGCTTGTAACTTGGACAAGAGCTCAGACTGCAAGAGCAGGAAGTTACCGGCTGGCAGGATGGTATCGGGTTTAGGAACGTCCTTGGGATCTTCAAACATTCTTGACAGGGCATCGGGCTTTGTGTTTTTGGAGCCAGGCCGGTAGGTTATGTGAAAGGAAAACCTAGAGAAGAACAGCGCCCATCTAGCTTGCCGAGGTCTAAGGCGCTTAGCCGTTCTAAGTACTCCAAGTTTTTGTGGTCGGTATAGACCAGAACTGGATGCAGGGCTCCTTCCAGGAAGTATCTCCACTCCTCAAGCGCGGCTTTAATTGCCAGGAGTTCCCGATCCCCAGTGTCGTAATTTCTCTCCGCCGGCGTGAGTTTCCTGGAGAAAAAAGCGACTGGGTGCATGAGGTCTTTTACGCCTCCTCTTTGTGATAGAATAGCACCGACTGCATTTTCGGATGCGTCTACCTCCAGAATGTTTGCACGGGATGCATCTGGGTTGCTTAAGATGGCAGCAGCCGTGAACAGCTTCTTCAAGGTCTCGAAGGCCGCCTGCGCTTCCGGCGTCCAATGGAATCGTATTCCTGCCTTGGTAAGTTGGGTGATAGGTGACACCAACCCTGAGAAATTCTTAATGAATTTTCTATAGAAGTTTGCGAAACCGATAAAGCGCTGCACCCCTTTCTTATCTGTTGGGACTGGCCGTTCCAGAATTGCGGATATTTTCTGGGGGTCCATTGCAATTCCTGAGGTGGAGATGACCAACCCCAGGAACTGGATACTGTCTTGCTCAAAGTTGCATTTTTCTGCTTTAGCAAAAAGTCTGTGCTGGCGAAGTCGCTCCAATACGTTTCGAACGTGACCTCGGTGTGTTTGTGTTTCCAGGGATGGTGAGAAGATTAGGATATCATCCAGGTAGGCAATTACGAAGATATCCAGATAATCCTTGAAGATGTCATTGACAAAATGTTGGAATGTGGCTGGGGCATTGCACAACCTGAATGGCATAACCAGGTACTCAAAGTGCCCAAATCGGGTGCGGAAAGCCATATTCCACTCATCTCCTTCCCGGATACGAACCAAATTGTAGGCGCCCCCTGAGATCCAATTTTGTGAAGATGGAGGCCGCCTTTAGTCACAGGAATAATTTGGGGACTAAGGGGAGAGGATAGCAATTCTTAACCATGATTTTATTTAGTTCACGGTAGTCCACACAGAGTCTCAGCGACTGATCTTTCTTTTCGACAAAGAAAATTCCGGCACCCACGGGAGATGTGGACGGCCAGATAAATCCTTTTCTGAGGTTCTCCTCGATGTACTCTTTCAAGGCCCCCCAACTCCCGTTCTGATAGAGGGAAGATTTGACCAAACGGAATCTCAGAACCCGGCAAGAGGTCAATTGGGCAATCATATGCCCAGTGTGGGGGAAGGATGTCCACTCCCCGCGGGCTAAAAACATCAAGATAGGCGTGATAGGCCGCAGGAATAGTCTGGGCTAATTCTTCCTCCGTGGTTACACAGCACAGGGACCGAGTGACTCCAGGTGTCTTGAGGCCACAGTGTTCCTGACAATACAAGGACATGAACTGAATTGCCTCTGTTCTCCAGTCGATGTGAGGGTCGTGGGCTCATAGCCAAGGAAGTCCCAGGATCACTGGAAACAGGGGGGACGCGATAGTGTCCAAACGGAGGTACTCCTGGTGGTGTCCAGTTATTGTAGTGTGGATCGGCAGGGTTTCTCGATCTACTAGTCCGGACTTTATCTGGGACCCGTCTGCCAGAAATATATTCAGACCCCGCTCTTTGGTCTGTAACGGGATTTGCTGGTGAGCTGCAAAGCCAAGGTCAATGAAGCAGCTACATGCTCCCGAGTCGATAATGGCCACCGCTGGTACGATTCTTCCGGGGAGCTAGAACGAGACAGGCACAGCTAAGTGAGTTGCATTGCTTAGGCATGAAGAAGACACAGCAGAGGCAACTGAAGCACACTTTCATATCTTCTCTGGACAAGAACGGACTATATGGCCGGCTGCTCCGCAGTATAAACATAAGTTGTTCAGCCGGCGCCTCTGGCGCACTTCAAATGTCAGAGAGGGCCGCATCACTCCGGTCTGCATCGGTTCGGGTCCATCAGCCATTTCCTGACCTCGATTCCCACTTGGGGGAGTAGATTGAAATGGAACCCGGGGTAACGTCCATGTTGGTCTGAAATTTGAATTGGCCCATTCTTGACGGCGTTCCCGCAGCCTGCGGTCGATTTGGATGGCCACCTGAATCAACTCTTCCAGCGTGTTGGGTACATCGACTCTGGCCAGCTCGTTCTTAAGAGGTTTGGACAGGCCCAGCAGAAACTGGTGATGCAGAGCTGCGTCATTCACTGTGTATCCCTGCTCCAGCGCATGAATTCTGCCGCATAATCCTTCGCTGCCTGGCGACCTTGTTGTGACATTGCCTGGAAAAATGATGACACAGAGTCTAAATGTGAATGATGATCCTCCATCAAGCGATGGGCCCAGCCTTGAGGTTCCCCCTGCAAAAGTGAAATAATGAATCCCACTTTTACTGATTCTGAGGCAAAGGTTCGGGGTTGCAGGTTAAAGTAAAGCAGACAGGAGTTCTGGAAGGCCTTGAACTGCTTCCGATCCCCATTAAAACGCTCAGGTGTAGGTACTCTAGGTTCTGGTGGAGGGATGGTGACGACCACTTTGGCGGTGGATTCCACGGAATCCTGGGCCAGAGATGTGCTCGCCGTGGCAGATGGTGTGGCTGTTGGAGCGGTTAGAGTCTGGATTCGTCCTCCAGATGCGTGTACCCCTCTTGCAGTGTTTTCACCACCTCAGTAAGTGCCACCAGGTGCTGGCAGATCTTGTCCAAGGGTGAGGGACCTCTTCCTGGCTCAGTCATGGCCTTATGGTTCTGTCAGCGGCCGACTGGCGGTAGCCTCTAGCAGCCCACTGGCCGGAATCCCTCAGGGCGCGGAGTCTAAGCCTCAGTCTGCTGGTTCACCAGAGCCCCTGATGGTGGGGATGGACTTGAAGCAGCCTTAGACCAGGTCGCGACCCCCGAGGAACACCAGCTGTGGTAGAGGCGGAAGCCAATGACGTAGAGCAGGTGAGAGCCAGACGTGAAGAGGTATGCGTGGTCAGACAGGCCGGGTCAGTAACAGCGGAGCAGACAGTGCAGAGCGGCAGGCAGAGGAATTACAGGTCACAAGCCGGGTACAGTAACAGGTCAGGCAATAAGGAACAGGTAGAGAATAGTCAGGACTAGCCAGGGGTCAGAGCAGGAGAAGGCAGCAGTATCAGGAACAGGTTGGGTCGGCAACAAGGTATCAGGAACACAGGAACAGGAACAAGACCATAAGGCGATTTGGAGATGCACAGGGCTGGTTTAAATAGGCAGCCCTGTGCTCTCATTGGTGCGGCCGAGATTGCTAGTGCGCATGTGCGGCCGCCGCCGCGATCGCCTAGGATTCAGTGCTCACCGGCTCGGATGAGTCGGCGCTCTGTGCATGCGCGCACCGCCGAGGCGCCGGGATTCCTGACACACTCCCATATTATATCACAACTTGACTACTGTAACT